TGCCTGAAGAGGGTGCTGGCGGTGTGTATGAAGTATTTGGCCTGTGTTACACACTGCTGGAAAAAGTCAAGCAAAGTTAGATTCAGTGTTGACTTGTTAAAAGCAGGAGGAGCAGCAGGACACAGACTGCAGGTGGAGATCATTGTATTTGACTGATTGTGCATGAAGGAGAATCTGGAGAGCAGCGCACAAGATGAGGATTAAAATGAAAGAGAAAAGCTGACTTAGCCAGACAGCAGTGGTGTATTCAAAAACACACCAATAATCAACTTCTGTGAGCAAAATCACACCTGTGAAGTGATTTGTATTTGTAGGGGATGTGCAGGTGCACTGGTTTGTATGTGGACCCCCAGCACAGCTGAAGGTTTGGCTTTAGAATTGCGTTCACACTACACCAACTAAATCTGTGAATTTCTCTAGACTAAAACAGCCTACACCAACTAAATCTGTGAATTTCTCCAGACTAAAACTTTTCTTGCACCTTTCCAAATCTGTTTCCAGCCTGTCGGGGTCTGAAAACACCGGCCTGGTGTATCAGAGGCTACAGTTAGATGAGCAGTATTTCTCCAGTCAGATTGAAATCACTCTGATTAGAGATTCCAGCTGAACTGTTTACATGAACACTGTTCTGATAAGATGCACGTTTACAGGCTCAAAGCTTTTAATTGGAATATGACTTTCTTGGCATGTGCAGAGTGGCACCACCTGCTATGAAGTGTGTCATCTGCCAGAAACATAACAGAAGAAGAAGAAGAAGCCTTTTCCAGTGGTTCTTAATTTGGATGATGTTTCGGCGGATTCTTACTTTGTCTTTTCTAACACTTATTTGAACAACATGTTTTTTTAGCCTCTCCAGCGTTAAGGCGTTCAACAAACCTTAAACCTTTTAAAGTCTCCAAAATAACTGTTGTATCAGCCACAGACCAGCTGTGTTTTGCTGCTCCTGTGTTTCTGTCCCTACTGTAACTCATCACCTCAGTATAGGCTAATACACCCCCTTCCATTACCACATCAGCCCCCATCCCTGAGATACTTGTTATAACGAGAGATTAGGTTTTTTTCTTAATTGTGGCAGAAATACATTGTTGCAAAAGCAGCAGTGTGACATGTTTCTGCTGCGGCAGTGGTCGTTCACCTCCATTCTACTAAAAGACATTTCTCTTCTTTGAATTTCATTATTGTATGACTCATTTTTTCATCATTTCCAGTCAACCCTCAAGCAATTTCCCTAGTTTGTAGACCTGCTACTTTGATCCGGTGTTAGAGAAGGAGATGAGGCCAGATCATTCGCCTAAGAGACTTATTATAGATTGCAGTTTAGAGGTGTTGGGAGGAGAATTTATGAGTGAACAAATCTAATTCCATGTGTTGAAAGGTTTTAGAATTACGTAGAAATCCTTTCTGCTTGTTGTTCCTAAGGTAATGTTGGAATATCTTACTTTATGTGACCCACCTGGGCTTGAATGATAATATACTGTATATCATTACCTTTGTGTTTGACAGATGTATAATATATGTATGATCAGTCCTGCAGCCAGTTGGTGATGGTGAGGTGTTAGTTGTTATTCTGCTGTGGAGAACAAGAATAAGACAGAACAAGAATTGAGTGTTGTTGTTTTTTTTTTTGTCTTTGTTCATATAAACTGCACAATGTCGATAACAGACACCAGCTGTTAACTATTACTTTTTAGCAGAGGGTGAGATTCCAGAACTGAACTTATCCACCTGCAGCCCAGAGCAGTGTGGGTGGGTCAGTGCTGGGGAGGCATACCCCTCAACACAGTGTCACACTCTGTCGGCGGTGTCCAACAGGGCAACCTAGAGCAGTTTAAGCTCTTTCAACAGATGAAGCTCTAACTAAAATGGATCCAGGTGAACTGCAGAGATACAGACAATGACAAATGGAAGGGGAAAGCCCTGTACAACTGAGTGGTCTTCTCCAGGATGACAGTACCCCCATCCACAGGACACAAGGGGTCACTGACTGGTGTGATGATTGTGAAAATGATGTGAATCCAGTGCTATGGCCTTCACGGTCGCCATGTCTCAGCCCAGATGAACATCTATGGGACAATATTCATCCATCCAGTAGAGCTCAGAGACTTGGAGAGTTGGTGCCAAGGTCCAGCTGTACTGGTGGCACATGGTGGTACATGGTGGCCCAGCACCTCACTGAAACTCTGTGTGTTGGCTTGTCCTGTAAAATGTCTCTAGGCGTAGCTGTTGTCTGAACATATCATCCACAACCTCAGAAAACGGGGTTTTGTTTCTGTGTGTCTGCAGCACGGAGCATCTCAGGAGGACTTCATCCGCGGCAGCCGGGACCAGAAAGTCCGGGATGTTGTGTACGACATCGCCAGTCAGGCTCACGTACATTTACAACACGTATGTAGCACACTTGCACGACATGACCAAATTTCACTACAGCTTCAAACAGCTAAACATAAGTGAGTGTCAGTTGTGTTCTTTGCTGACTGACAGAGTTGTTAAAGAAGAGCTTTACCTTTTTTCCTGGTGTTTCTGTGTTCATTCAATACTAGGTGGGAGAGAAATGGTATTTCAATTTTCTGTATGTCCTGTGTATATATAGTGAATTGACAATAAAAGTCTTTGATCTTGATATTGATCTTCATCTCAGAAACGCCTTGAGAATTGTGGGTGCAATCATTTTTATGCATAAAGAGCAGTTTAGAAATGTAGGCAGCTCAGTTGGTCTGGACAGCAGTAACCTCTGTTTGTTTAATTCCTGGTTACTGTGCTTTTCCCTTCAGGCACGATCATTTAGCCACAACGTTCCTGCAGCTGCCACTCGGGCCTTCCTCCAGACGGTAAGTCACAACGAGCCTGCCGTTTTTCTGTGTGACTTTAGGAAGACTTGATAGAAAACCACAGGTACCGTAGGTTCTCATATGAAAAACTGTAGTATAATAGCCAGCGCTGTGACCATCATGAATAATGCAAGGCTGGACAGAATCATGCTTTACACACCCCTCTGCCACTTTTTAATGTTTTCATACTCTGCTACTATCAACAAACCTCAACACTTCCTGCTGCTTTTTTCACATTAAAACCCTGCTAAGTCTCTAATTGGTATGAATCTGTGGAAATAAGGGCCTGGTTCTGTCTACTACCGAGGTGACTAAAGGCCTCAGTCATCTTTGGAGAATTTGAGGTCTTGAAAGGTTAAAACACCTTTTTATTAAACTGATTAGTAAATATTTTATGATGACTTAAATGACGCTCCCCTGAAGAGCTTTATGTATTATATATTTAAGAACTAAGAATGTGAGCCTAGTCAAATAGTCCTACATTTATATGCGAATTGCACACACACAAAACCCAAACAACACAAAGGTGATGCAGTTCTTCAGTCAGAGCACGTGAACGCTTCTTATTACATGTTCAACTGATTTCTCAAATGTCCCTCAGTGGTCGGACCACTTCATTAGCTGTAGCTGAAAAATTATAAAGGTGGAAATCTGTGAGTCACATCTGTGGCATTGAAATGGGCATGTAAAGGTCTAATGTCTTTTTAAGGCTTGTTGCTCATATTCAGAAACTTTTTTTTTCTTCAATGAACCCTGTCCTTAACCTAAGCAGTAAGATCTCCCCAGCACTTTAAAACACAATGCTGCACTTATCCTTTGCCAAACACTTACATGTGTCTTTGTACAGTGAAAAACTGAGTTGAGTGATTGACTAAAACCACTGGTCTGCAGTCAGATGTTGTTTTCTGCACCCAGAAAACACTGATTGCTGATTGTAGTTTACAATAAAAAGTTGCCTCTGTGATGAGATCAGTTCAAAAACTGATCTACCAGCCTGGCCATTAGTTGTCCTGACCTGCTGACGTTCAGTGCTCTCCTGCAGCACGTGCACAGTAAAAACCAATCAGCCCTTCTGAGGCTAGAATAATGGTTTCCACACGGCAGTGGAGCTGCGCTGTGCAGCCGAGGTTATTTGTGCACGTGTGATGCTCTTCCAGCTCAGTGAGAAAGTCGACGCTTGTGCCTTTTCACAGCACTGAAGATTTGATTCAGAAGAATCAGGACTGAATGAGCATTGTGAAAAAGCAGGAAATGCAAAGACTGTAGCTTGTTTCTTCTCACAGGTGAAGCATCCCTTAAACCTGGCCTCAGAAACAATCTCGTGCAGTTTTTATGGTCTTGTAATGAACTCTTTCTTTAAAAAGTATTCTGGTGTTTACTGCCATCTTTGCAAGATAAGATAGTTATATTTTATTTATTCTGCTGCACATGTAAGCCTTAACAAACGTAGATGTGCTGTGTTTGTCATTTTAAGGAAAACATCCATGATCCACAGATTTATAGCAAGGCCATACGTTTACAGTTTGGCCTATAATGTGCACTCTACACAGTTTTCCAAATCTCTGTGTGTACTGTATCTACACTGACTTTTTTATTTTCCAGCTTAATTTGTTTTAATCTATTTTATGTTAAATCCTCTATACATCTTTTTTTTGTTTGTTTTGCCTTTTCTTAATATGTTGCATGTAAAGCATGTAGAATTGGCTTGTTGCTATAAAGATGAGGTTACAGTGTGAAGTCCACTGTGCACTATTGTTTCCTCTGCTGGCTGCGCCTGCACATTCCGGCTCACCCCAAGGTCTTTGCATTTGGATGTCAACACATAAAAATCACTTTTCCAGGCTCTGGAACCATTGTGTTAAAAAGCAATGTGTCATCACTCACCTTGTTTGCAGTTTGTAAATGGTGTCCATGGGGAAAATGATGTTTGTTGCAGTACCATGATTGGCTACTGGGAAACACCATGACAACATGCTGGCAGCATCAGCTCTCCTTAATACATCCTGACAGTTGCAGGAACAAATCAAAATGATATACCCAACATTAACACATTACAGGACTGAATGAATAAAGTTATATGAAATAAAACACTTTAGTTTGATTAGCAGACTAGAAAACTACCCTACTTACTCTGAGACCTCCAGGGCTCTTCAGTTAAACCTGGTGCACACTAAGCCAATCTCTTCTTCTGTGGTGTTGTGTGCCACAGGTGGCTTTGGAGGACTACCTGCAGAGAGTGAGAAGGGCAGATTTTGATGTGTTCCACCCGAGTCTGCAGAACAGAAACCCTCTCCTCCCCATCCAGCTGTACATCCGCTCCTGGAAGAAGACCTACTGATGTGAGTCTCCCGCCTCCTCCTCCCAGTCTCTCCAGTGACTCCAGTTTGACCAAAGCCCAGAGATTTCAGCTCTCTGCTTGGAGATCACATTGTAACAGATCTGTAAAGACATCAAGACTTGTTCTGGACTACAGCTCTGCCACTCAGGAGCTGTCCCTTTTAATAAAACCACACCAAAGTTTGTTTCTCAAACTGTGGCTCACACACCAGCTTCAGTCCCAAATCATCAGGCAGGGAACAGTCTGACGATGCATTGCAAGAATTCAAGTATGTAATAATGAATTTTGGAAATGTACTTTGTTGGGGGACGACAGTGTTGCGGTGGGTAGAGCAGTTGACTCCCAATCAGAAGGTTGAGGGCTCGAATCTCGGTGCCTGCAGTCCACGTGTCGAAGTGTCCTTGGGCAAGACACTGAACCCTCCAAGTTGCACGTATGCACACGCAGCGGCCTGGGGCCCCTCAGCTCCTTACAAAATTTCATTGTACATGTCACAATGTTACAATGACAATAAAAAATAAAGCTTCTTGTTCAGATGTTCTGTGGATGCGTAAAGAATAATTGTGGATTATTATAACTTTGGTCTTACTTTTATACGTGTAACCATCATTTTTATCAGCACTAATGAGATTGTGACTTCCAGGGTAATTACTGAGCTCTGTGAACAGAGAGCAGAAAAGGCCTGAAGATGAGCAGATGAAATGCTATCAAGAAGGACGATGTAGTTGGAGGATGAGAGCAGAGGTTGTATGTTTCATTTTTTGGTGAAAAGAACATGTTCAGACACTAACGAGCCAAATCACAGTAATAAAGAAGATAAACTGCAAACACATGACAGGAAAATGTGCAGATGAGGTTACAAGTCTAAACTCGTGTCAGAAGTACTCTGGCGGTCGGCGGTGAATGTGGGGTCTTTCACCCGGCTCACCACCTTGCCTTGACAGGTGCCTCATTGGGCCTTAATTAAGCCTCATCCCCTCTGCTTGAAGCCGCTGCCGGCACAGAGATGGGTAATTACGGGCTCCAACCCAGAGAGCCACTGTTTACTGCAGCAGACACGCCAGCTTTACACTGCGGGGAAAACGGAAAGCATTAATTAGGCCTTTCTGCCCTGTCAGGAGTAATTGCACTGAGTGGAGGAAACATTTGTTCACCTTCACTTCTTCACTGAAAGTGCTCCTCCAACTTCAAACCTGCATTCCTCACATTGATGGCCACCAGGGGCACCAGAACTGACATGGCCACCTTATAAAGATGTTAGTCACCTAGAGCTACATGGTCATCCCATCAGAGCAGGGTTTGTGTCCACCTGATGAATGTCCAATAATCACCCACATTGTAGTTCTGATTTTGGCCTCCACCTCCTCCTGAGGGAAATATCTGGCTGTCTAGCTGCCAAACACTCCAGTTTCTTCACCAGCTGGTGTCTAACTGCCGTTTGATGCTGACCATTGATATTAACACGTAGATTTCTGAGCCACTGCTGTTCATTACAGCGATGTGTCCACGCAGCTGCCACGTTGTTGTTGTTGTTAAAGCCTTTTCTAAAATGACCGGACTCCCTCTTAGAGCCCTTTCTTCCTTATGTGAGCAGCAGATCATTGCACTGTGGTGTTTGTCATTATAGGTGTGCTTTTAAATGTACTATCATAGAATAATGACCTTACAAATCAACTCTTCGTGCTCTTTTTAATTGGCCACAGGTGATAAATAAAGTACAATGGAACCTTGGATTGTGAGTATAATTTGTTCCGGCAACATGCTCATAATCCAAAGCACTCATATATCAAAGCGAATTTCCCCATAAGAAATAATGGAAAGTCAGATGATTTGTTCCACACCCTCTTATCCTTATAAAAATGATTACAGTAATACAAAATACAGTGTAAAGTAAAAATAAAACACATTAACCTGCACTTTACCTTTGAAAAGAATCGGGGCTGGCGTGAGAGGCCATTGTTGCAGTACAGATATTGAATATACGAGGCGCAAGAACCATCGGCTCAGTTGTGACGTACAGTGAGGAACAGAAGTATTTGAACACCCTGCGATTTTGCAAGTTCTCCCACTTAGAAATCATGGAGGGGTCTGAAATTCACATTGTAGGTGCATTCCCACTCTGAGAGACATAATATGCTTCTTACGGAGCCACTCCTTGGTTATCCTGGCTGTGTGCTTTGAGTCGTTGTCATGAGCCACGACCCATCTTCAATGCTCTGATTGAGGGAAGGAGGTTGTTGCTCAAAATCTCACAATAAATGGCCCCATTCATCCTCTCCTTAATACAGTGCAGACGTCCTGTCCCCTTCGCAGAAAAGCACCCCCAAAGCATGATGTTACCACCCCCATGCTTCACAGTAGGGATGGTGTTCTTGGGATGCAACTCATCCTTCTTTTTCCTCCAAACACGACGAGTGAAGTTTAGACCAAAAAGTTCTACTTTGGTCTCATCTGACCACATGACTTTCTCCATGCCTCCTCTGGATCATCCAGATGGTCTTTGGCCAACTTCAGACGGGCCTGGACATGTGATGACTTGAGCAGGGGAACCTTCCGTGCAATGCATGATTTGAAACCATGACGGCGTAGTGTTCTACCTACAGTGACCTTTGAAACTGTGGTCCCAGCTCTCTTCATGTCATTGACCAGCTCCTTCCTTGTAGTTCTGGGCTGATTCCTCACCTTTCTTATCATCAGTGATACCCCACGAGGTGAGATCTTGCATGGCGCCCGAGTCCGAGGGAGACTGACAGTCGTCTTTAGCCTCTTCCATTTTCTAACAATTGCTCCAACAGTTGATCTCTTTTCACAAAGCTGCTTGGCAATTGCCCTGTAGCCCTTTCCAGCCTTGTGGAGGTCCACAATTTTGTCTCTGGTGTCTTTTGACAGCTCTTTGGTCTTGCCCATGGTAGTAGTTGGCGTCTGACTGACTGTGGGGTGGACAGGTGTCTTTAAAGAGTTCAGACAGGTGCTACTAATTTAGATTAATGAGTGGAGTAGAGGTGGACTTTTTCAAGGCACAGTAACAGGTCTTTGAGAGCCAGAATTCTTGCTGTTTCTCAGGTGTTCAAATACTTATGTTCAGCAGTGCAAGACAAATAAATTCTTTAAAAATCATACAATGTGATTTCCTGAAATTATTTTTTAATTCTGTCTCTCAGAGTGGGATTGCACCTACAATGTGAATTTCAGACCCCTCCATGATTTCTAAGTGGGAGAACTTACAAAATCGCAGGGTGTTCAAATACTTCTGTTCCTCACTGTACGTCACATAAAGCGTATTGCGAGACCTCAGTCGTATATCAAATCAAAATTTTTTGCTCGTCTTGCAAAACACTCACAAACCGGGTTACTCCAATCCAATGTTCTACTGTAATTTGAATTGAACTGAATGTTAGGAAGGCAGGAGGTCTATCTACAGTTAAAATCATCATAACTCACAGAATTTACAACCAACTTTCCAGCTGCATGGCTTGTTACAAGTGCCGGAAGTATATTTATGATATAGGAAACTTGGCTACATTAAAAATGTGGAATTTTGCACCAAATGCATCTTTTGTCGACAGCGACACTCTTTATGATGTACTTGTCTTAAGTATGATTTATGCTAATGCTTTTTGTTCTTTTATTGCATAGCATTTTGAATGCAGGACTTTTACTTGTAACAGAGTATTTTTACACTGTGGTAGGGCTACTTTTACTTAAAGTATCTGACTACTTCAACCGCTGATAAAAGAGACATAATTACAACAAATACTAAATTTAAAGTATCATGTAAATGTTTATCAATCATCACATTTATGTTTAAACATGATGCTTCATAAAGTGTTTAAAGAGACTGAACCAAAACCAGGGGTTAAGAGGCTAAAAAGCTCCACAGAGCTGCAGAAAGGTGAGAAGTTTCTGTGGGTTTGCCACTGCACCTGCTTTCAGCTAATTCTGTAACATAAAAATATCAGAGCCAGAACATATACAGAATAAATGCATTACAATGAGTGAATGCTGTTTTAGTACTGGCTGCATGACCTTTTTCCCCAGTCAGTCTACACAGAAGACACTCAAGCACTCAGTGAGGTAGGGAACTAGAGTAAACAGCCTGGTCCAGAGCTTCACTGAAGCGGCTGAGTCGAAAAAATACTCTTATCTATGTAGTGAGCACATTTTATACAGCCAGTGTAGTGTATAGTGAGAGAGGGCTTTAGAAATGTGAATTTACAAGAAGAATAAATACTAATCATCCCTGTGTTTAGACAGACTTAAGGTGAGGGCCACTGAGTCAGAGGTAGGGCTGCTCTGGAGACAAAGGTCATGAGACAAAATTAACATGGGTTGAGTCACTGAAACTGTTTTTCAGACTGAGAGAAGCTGCAAAACTGAGTCCACAACAGTCTGGTTGAGTTACATTTCTGTCATATCAGCCCACAGTTTTCTCTGAGGTACGTGCCAGTCAGATGGCATGTGATGTGGACGCAGCCAAACACACCTACTCTCTCTGCTCACAGGTAAAGTGCTGTGCAAAAGTCTTAGGCCACTGTTAGTTTTGCTGTTTTAGCAGGTTGTAATTATATTTACAGTATTTCTCTGTCTCTTCATTAAGATATTACCAGAAAATACAGGAAATACAGTATGTCCACAAAAAAACCCCATGATGTTCAGAACCAAATGGCTTCTCCAGTCCAAAGTCAGTATTTAGTGTGACCTCCCTTTGCACAGCTTGAAGTCTTTTAGGGAGACAGTCTTAAAACCATGACAGACTCTCCACCGTGTTTCACTGAAGGCTGCTACACTCATTCTTCCACCTTTTCATCTCCTATACCATCAGCGATTGGACTTCCATCATAACGCTCCATATTCTTTGTTTCCACTGATCTTCACTCCAGTCTTTGCGTCTCTCAGCCTTTTCTTCCTGTCCCCCTTCTGGAAAGGTGGTTTCTTGGCTGCTGTCCTTCCACAAACGCCGCTCCTAATCAAGCTTCTTCAGGCTGTGGAATGACCAACTTGGTGTCCAGATGAAGCTGCCCAATGCTGAGCCAGGTCCCTGCTGGGATTCCTCTCAGAGAAACTTCTCATCACACTCTGGCAGTTTTCTTGGTGCACTCCTGGTTTTGTCCTCGGCCTTTTCGGGTTCTTCATGTTTATTTAGAACAGCTTGAACACCACATCCTGAGGATATAGTTTGTTGATTCTTTCCTGATATTTTTGTTTTTTTTAATACCATGTACATATTTACTATCCATTCATCCATTCTAGCTGCAAATCTAATGGTGACCTAAGACTTTTAGTGCTATGTGTCTCATGTGGAAATGTGGCTGTTTTTGTTACATCACCCAGAAGCACGGACACTGACTGCCTGAACCCGTTGGAAAATTTCACCCATGGTAGTTGAGGAATAATATCCCAGTGTATTTAAAGGATAGTAGAAGAATCAAAATCCAGACTGAAATTTAACAACTTTCCTGGTATTAAAGGAAAAATCCCTGAAATATCAATTAATGCTTGATGACTGTGGATCGCAAAGAGTCAGTGCAGACAGCTGAAGTGTAACTCAGCCTATGACATTATAAAGGGAATGTTTGTGTAACAAATTTTCCAATCTGCAGACACACAAAAAAAGCTTCTGTTCAGATTTTCAGTGTTCGATGTGTGGTCTTTGTAACGTCACAGCAGCATCAAGAAAACGTGTTTCTTCATGTCAGATTCTGTGGATTTTGGGATGTGCTGAAAAGAAACACTGCCTGTACAAGGATTACAGGGGGCACACCCCTTCAGGAAGGAGCTTCATTCAAATCTAGAAGATTTAAAAGACCTGAGATGACAGATGCATTAAGCTCGACTGCGTCCGCTAATGCTGAAACTAAGCCTCGGCCGCTACAAACAATGGATAATGAACACTAATGGATCAACTAATAACTCACCATTCAGGTGATGAAACTGAGAAAAGAGGAAACGAACAGTGGACAGAGAGATAAAAGATTGACCACATTAAAAGAAGAAAGAACAAGTGAACTGGATTCTTTTATCCAGGAACAAAACTGAAATGACAGATTAATTAAGGAACTTTGAATTTCTGTTTCCAATGTCAGACATGTACATTTATTGGTTTAGCAAAGAACGCTTCAGCTACAGCATCACTAAAATTATTGGTGATAACAGTGAAGTCAAGACTGAAAATAAGGGGCAATGAAATATCAGAATTAGAGTCGATGTGACGAGAGTGAAAGTCAAGAGCAGAAATAATATCAGAGGAGCCACACTGCTATCACATATCACAATAACAGTTTAGTTTCCTTTCATGCTGATTGTGACTGACAGAGACCGTGCATCTGTAAACATAAATATTCCAAGGGAACCCTGGTGCATTGTACAAATGTAAAACCAGGACAAAGCTGGTGCCATTTAGTGTCTCTGTTAACTTTGGCACCAGATTTAGTTATAAAGAAAACAGCTCTCAGTGTAACATGGTGCAGCCTCTACAATGACCACCCAGGTGGACTGACACCTCTGTGAAACAGTCTGAACATCATCACCTTCAGGAAGGAGGATTTGCTGCAGGACTGTTGGATTAGGCTGACCCAATCTGAGACAGGTGTTTCTAATAAACTGACCTCTGAGTATAGACAGTAGCATACAAGTCTTTGTGCAAGTTCTGTATTTTGTTGATTTTTTTTTAAGTGAAAAGCAAACTGCCTGTCAAAGTCAGGACTTTGATTATTAGAAGACTGTGAAATATGGTTAACTCTAACAGTTCATAGATTTTAAATGCAGAACTGAAACACAGTTACTTTGCGGAAAGTATACATACAGGTACGTTCAATGGCCTTATTTTATTTGCATTGCAATAATCAGTCAGTTGATGAGTTAATCGATAGAAAATGAATCAATATCTACATTTAAAACGGACTGTCATTATTCCAAAAAAAAA